GGTTCCAAACTGACAAAATGAGGTATTAGCAAAGAACGGCGAGATACATGATTTCGCAGTAAGGTTAAAGGTCGTCTCTCTCGTTATCAACCCTTATACCCCACCCCCCATCAAAAGTGATTGCAGTTTACGAAATTTTATTGAGAGTTTCCTCGACGCTTTTATTCCTGACAAGAATATGAAAACTCCGTTAACGATGTTTCGACATCGAGTCTCGGGGCTTTCCATGGACTTTTATATCGGATCTCGCGACATTGTAAGCGTAACTTTTCAATTAATCTTATTTCCGATACTTCAGTCCCACGGTATACGAAACACCCGAACGTTTTCGCAACCTCGTCACTCTTTATCCATTAAATCATCCGTATGGCAGTTAACGTCACTTGTAAAAATTGCAAACCCCTAGGCTTCGCTCTGGGTAGGATATTGGGAATCGGCATTTTTGATTATGTTCATCTCGAATACGTCACGTCTGCATTTTGTCAGCCTGTAGAGCAGAAGACAATTCTTGTGTAAATCCGGGTTAGAGCTCGAATTCATGATCGGGGTATTCCCGTGAAGAAGTTGTATTGATTTTTGGAAAAAGGTCAAAACCAAATTTAATTGGGTTTTATGGGGGTTTTCCAGTATCTGAGAACAGCTGTTTCATTATACGGGAAGGTTTCTTTGCGCCAAGCCGTAGGTCAATCATTTCTCGAAATAGCCGGTGGGAATGATCGGTGCGTGCGACGTGCCTATCTCACGGCCTAATCCAAATTAATGATTTGTTTCATCAAGCACCCCGAGCACGAACCCTTATTTTGATGCGTGGTACCGCGTGAAATTCGTCAACACGAACCTCAGATTAACCCTCTGTATTACTTCGCAAGGGTTAACGTATGCATAGTAATTGTGTAACATCGATCAAGAAAGGGGGAACTTTGGGACTGTACGTAAAGCTCAGTGAAGAAAAATCATCCCCTAACCCGTTCGCTTTGCGATTCTTCAAACGAACGGCGGAAGCTGTCGAATGAATGTCAAGGCGGCGGTAACTTTTTTAATAATCACTCATCATCCGACCCTCGAACTCTGTGGTGGGGGAGGGGAAGGGAGGGGGGGTAGTAGCACGACACCCCTCCTTTATTATTTCAAAGGGGGTTAACCAGCAGCTCTAGTGGCTTATGAAGTTGTACAGGCTGTTTCAGACTTCTGATTTCATTGAAGGGTGAATAAGTAGGTAACTAGGTAGAGAAGCGTAGCTACCCGGAAGTTGAGCTTTTGCTAACTGAACCGGAAGGGTTGTTCCGCGTCGCGCGGGTAAAAGTCTCTTTCAAAAAATCGATTCGAAGCGCCGTCGACCTTTTCTTACTTGAGCTTGATCTCGTCGGCGAAGCTTTTATGCCACTTTGAATGGCGTCTTCTTCCTCGCAATTAGTGTGAATGGCGTCGCGACGCTCATGATCGTCGTAACGCAGTTACGAGAACGGGACATTGAGGAAGCAGGACTACAGTCGTCCCTTGGTGCTCCCTGGGATTGGACGGCCGATGGGGTTGGGATTTATTATTTGATAAAAGATAAGCCAGGGGTAGTTCGGTGAATGCAGAGATTTTGCAAAAAAAATTAAATTTTCAAAACAATGAACAATAATGGCGGCGGTTTTGTTGTTTAGGTTGTCAATTTTTATTTAGCCTCCCCCTACCTCGCCTTATCGGCCCCCCCTCTTTTTTTTCAAGTTTTCATATTATTTTCTACTTTATTAATTCACCCCAACTGTCGGTCCCGAAAAGCTCGAGCTTCGTTGCCTCCGAGGATCAAACGACGTCGTGAGCTTTTTTTCGTGTGACGTCACTCACGTCTCGTTCCTGGTCGCGTGATTAACTGCGGCTGTCGTAAACGTAAGTAGAAAATTTTTTGACCAATCAATGACGTGTGATATATTCTATTGATACGAACAATAATAATAATTTCGAAAAATGACCCCGATCGAATCCATACAATGAATATGAAAATTTGCCAAAATAAATTATATATAGTATCCAGCTATCCCATGCAACGGTACTGTATGGAAATATCGCGGCGTCGCGACGCTTTAGTGAATTTTCAACATCGTGTAATTTCTTCCTTGCAAAAGAATCACCGGATTCAATCGTCGTCGGAACGTTTAGTCCCTGGCATTTGAAAGTCGCTTATTGCGATACGTACTTTTACTATAGTAACGTGCCGCATATACTGATCGCTACCACGTACGGACTATATACAAACTGTACACGAGTTTCTCTAATCCGATCGATAAAAGGAAAGTTGAACGTTTTTACTTTCAGCCTAGGCCTTCTGCATTTTTTTTTTTTTTTTTTTTG